AGCAGATAAATCATCTCTGGCAGAGAGATGGAATCCCTAAGAAGGGCGGTAGCTTTGTAAATACAACAGAGACACAAAAAACAGATAACCGTGACATGCTGTAGTAATGACTGGAAAGTGCAGCTACTGCTCACAGGGGGATTACAATTCTTGTAACAATGTGTCAATTGAGAACTGTCATCGACCAGTGCAAACAGACTACAACGGGTACTGGATACTGTCTGGGCTAAGCTAACTTCGGCGCTCGTAACGCCTTTAATGAGACAGCTGGGTACGCAAACATGAGAAAAGAGACGCAGGCCTACCTGAGGACTGTCCTGTAAAGCGTCCTCCAGGAGCAGTTTGTGATGTACGGCCGGCATCTTGTTAGCTGTGCAGGAGAAGGGAACGAGGGCTTGAATTATTTAGAGTACGGACTCAATTTCCCAGAAACTACTGCGCGAAAGAGAAGCCGTATGCAATTGGTAGCAGGCCCAGTCATGATGTCATCTAACAGCCGGTGACCAGTAAGAGTAAACATTCTCAAACTCTGAAGTTGTTTAAAGACATATAGAGATATATATATGTATATCTATATATATCTATATATATAGTTCAGTGTTTAAGTTGATTTTGTCCTCTGAATTATTTACGGCAAAGAGTCGGCAATAATGGCCATGTATCCTAGGAGATTTTAATGTCAACAGTGACCCCGTGTGGTCACATAAAGAATTGCAGCATTGATTTTTCAAATTTTTCAAATTTAATTAAAGGAAAAACACAAAGTTTCTTCGTGAGGTGACGGAATGTAGTGCTGTGGAGTACTACACTTTTTAGATGCAATATCAAGTAAATAAAGGGCCACTACTGCCGATACCAATATTGACAGCCACGATTTAAAGCTATAAAGCTTACGGAGTGGAGAACAGTGTCATGTTGTATGAGATAAAGCCTCCTTAATTGACAAATTCTGAACACATTTTAATGAGTTTAATAAAACAAACACACATTTCAGTTTTTCATGTATTTTGAAATTTGGTTTTTCAGAATTCTAAATGTTCCTCTCTATTTACTGTTGTTTAAATGTGCTATAGGCTATAAAAATTGATTTGACAGTCAACACAAAAGGGTTCAGACATTTTTCATAGTGGATATTTTTTTCATTTCCAAAAAAAAAAAAAAAACCCCAAAGAAAAAACAAAACATAAATAATGTATCCCAATTCATTATGCTCGAACTTAGAGGATAGGAACAAAGTACTAATCTGATACCTATCCCATCCACCAACCTCTGGATGGATCATCATGTGCCAGTAGAAAAACATTAGTGCGCCACTGAATTCTACTGGAGTCCTGTTTAAGTGTTGGGAGAAGGCACTGTCTGATTTATTGGACCAATGTCTTCCATAGATGCTCAGCTGGGTATAGATAACATAACATTTCTATAAAATTTATACTCATCAATCCATTTAGTGGCACTATTACCCTGGAAAAGCTCACTCCACTCATGACAAAATAAAATGTTCCTTTACTTTGTGAAACAACAAAAAACAAGCACAAAACAAAAAGATTGATTGATATGAGGCAGCAGTTAGTATTTATTGAGAGATAAATGGATGTAGACCGATGGATGGTGATAAGTTGCACAAACCTTTTAAAATTACATTTTAGTCTGGTAAGTAATCAGGACCAGAAGCTCTTGTCTTGATTTGCATCAATCGCAACTGACAAATTGGCTGAGCATGTGATGTGCTGAGTTTCTGGCTCTCTAATTAAATCGCACTTACTGCAAAAGGCTATACAAAGTAAAACAAAAACAACTAAAACATATGTACTGTTTTGTCCTAACAGGTAGTTTGAGAAATAAACCTTTGCAAAGTTAAACCTTTATATAACTTTAATATAATGAATATGAGAGTACTCACTATTTTTTTTCTCTCTGTAAAAATCTGTATTAACATCAGCCCTAAAACTTAAAAACCTAAAACAAATCCAGCTATATTAGGCTGTGGCACAGTAAGAAGACAGCATGTAATATGCACTCATGTAGTATTTTACATTTTTTTCCAATGTGAATAACTGTCTTGTTGACTTGTTAGGATGGCCATGTCATGTTGTGTTGTGCCTCGATAATCTAGGCAAGCTGTGACAAGCACAGCCTCTTCATCAAGCTTCCAGGCAGCCTGAGTGGGAGATCATTCTTCGCTCCCCAGTGGACTTGCCTTGTTTAATTGGTGTAGTTGTGGCTGTAAATCAGACATAGCTTTTCAGCTCTAACTTTGATAATGAACTATGCTTGAAGTCTGGTAAAACAGCAATGGATAATGTCTGGATAGCCTCTTTTAAATGAAAGAGTGATTCAGCTAACCAAAGACCACCCTGAAAGGAGCAAGCTGCATTGCCACTGATTATCTGGCGTACAGTTAATAATTTTTGCTTTTCTAGGGCTAAAGTAAAGCCCACCTAGTCAAAACATACCTTAAAAGTCATACTAAGTCATTCTAATTTTAGCATGTTAGCCTTCTAACAATTCCTAAATAGTGCTAAGTACAAAGTGTAAATGCAAAATAGACTGAGAATATCTCAGTCTTGTTGATATAAAATAATTACACTCATGTTCATGAGGTAAATGTGATCACTATCCCTCTGTCAACCTCTCTCACAGATAATGCAGTTATAAACCTTGTCAAGGTGCCAAAGCAAAAGTCAGACGAGCACCAAAACTTTTAGAACTTCTTCTACGAACACAAAGGGGATGACAGACATCTTTTGAAATACTGACTCATTTTTATCCAGAAGATCTTCTGCTTTCAACTCGTACCTCTGCCCAGTAACCATATAATCCCACAGACTAGTCATATAGATCCTTTCATATACATTTAAAACAGCTGTTAAGAAAGCAGATTGCTTAGCTAACGCCTGGGTGTTAATATATATTGTGTCTCACTGATTGACACATATATTGTGTCTCAGTGTGATTTGGAAATGGCCGTTTATTCTTTTGTTTCTCACACCTCGATTAATGTAATTCATTATTGCTTTGCCTGAGGAAATTATTCCTGAATCGGTTCTCAATGTTACTACGAAACTACTCACCGGGTCCTCTATAAGGTCCATTGTGACGCCGATTTGATCTTCTTCATGCTGGTAAAATTTAGGGTTCAGTTTTGGTTATCACATTTAGAACGCTTCATAATCAGATGTCCTGGATTTGGATTTATTTATTTCTTCTACATCATCCACATGCAATTGCTAGGTCTCTGAGATCAGCTTGCTGGCTGCACCTAGATCTAAGTTAAAGACAAGAGGAGATTAGGACCCACCTGCCCGCAATCACCTTTAATTAGTTTAATCAGTTTATACTGTTTTAATTGTTATGTCTTATTTTGTGACTTTTGATCTTGAACACTGCAATATAACTAGACAATGCTTACTTATTTACATGGCCTAAGGTCAACCATCCATGATGATCTCTTGATCAGATTGTGTTGAGACCTTTTCTGACAGTTCACCCCCAGACGTTTAAAATGTGCCTTCTGTCCTGCTCTTGTGTGCCACAAAGACTGGATGTGGTGAATTTCATGCAGATGCTTTACCACTCAAGGTCACTTTTTTATGATTCTCTGTGTGGGTGGCTAACAGTGACAGGTACAGAAAGATGATCTTTTAGAGAGAAAAGTTGTTCATTAGCACAATCTGAGCTGCAACTGATAGTAGCTCACCAAAGCTTGGAAGTACATCCAAGCAGGTGGAAGCTGCTGTGGGGGGGCTCCGTGGCATTCTGCACTCCTTCATTGTGATAGCAGCAAACCATTCCAAGTGACCGCTGACTTCCCCGGGATCTCTTACGCCCTGCGTCCTCACAAACGCCATCAGCTCTTGCTGTGTAAGGAGGTGAATCAGGTCCAAAGCTGATTTTTGCAGCCCACTTTTGGATAGAGCCCCAGTATAGTTGTTTCCTCCCGTTTTCAGTCAGTGTGTTAAGCTAACCAGCTGCCAGTTTTACAATGAACTGACAGATGGCAGTGTCATCAGTCCTCTCACAGCGCACATGAAAAGCAAGCATGAGGCAAAAAAGCATTTTTCCTATAATGTATTTTACTTCAGATTGCAATGGATTGTGCACAACAGTTTAAGACTGACTTTACTCCACACAAAGTCTTCTTATTGTTCTACACACCTGTAATTGTATATGAGAAATTTGAATAAAATTAGTCTCACACATCAATTCATCTACACATAAGAAGCATCTCAGGCCTGTTTAAGGGCCTTTGGAAATGAGTCCATCTAGCATAAAACAGAAAGGGAATTCATGATGTCTTTTTTTTCCTCTGGGAACTTCTCATTTGAATTTTAAACATCTCGACTCCCATTATAATATAGATAACACCGCTAACAGAAAGTGTGAATTGGTTTGACTGGTGCAGAGTGCTAATGTAATGCTTCTTGCCATCATACTCTACTCATGTGACTGTTCTTGCATTTTAAGCGCATACATCGTGAGTGAAATGAAGAACAGAGATGCTCTGAGAATCACTCGGGGCTATAAAGAGGCCTATGCACGACCCTTTGTGGGTCCACTTGTTCACTGTCCAAGGTTTTTCCATATTCTCATTCTCACTGATTGCCAGCAGCTCAAGTATATAAGCTTTAGGTCACGAGTGAGCATGAACGTGTGTGTCGCCTCTGTAAAAAAAGCACAAGTATTGCTTCTCTATATTTTAGCATACACAGAGCACTTTGGGAATTTTACAGTATGCCACACAAACATGCTGATATATTGATGCCATTCAATGTATTCCAGTTTTTTATTTTACACCTTTATATATAAAGGAAGCTCCTTATTGGTTGGCTCTCACTCCACCCTCCGCCCCTTTTCCCCTGGTTTCCCGGGCAACCTTGTCAGGGTGGAGGAAAAGAGCAAATCATGTGAGGGTAAAGCATCTTTCTCTCTCTCTCCCCCCTCATTCCCCCCTCTCCCTCGTTCTCTCTTGTCAGTGAGTGTGGTGTGTGTGTATAAAAGCCTCTCTCGCCATGCTGTCACTTCACTCTGAGCTCTTCATTGCTTCGCATTAGGCAGGCGCAAGGGTTGAAGACAGGGGGGGATACAACCAATGGAGGTTTCTGCTAGGCATTTCCTTTGACCTTCCCTCCCTTTGTGCCTCTGTCACCTCTCCTGCCCACTTTCCCCTCTTCTCCCAATGTGTTGTACATTCCCCTCCTGTCCTCCCCGTCCATCCACTCATTAAACGTGTCCGCTCAGCTTGGACGGTGGCTGCATCGATGCAAAATGGGTTGTGGCAATTCCTCAGCCACCAGCACCACAGGAGGGGGTGAGTGTTTCAGGAATCTCTGTGTACATCCGTTTGTGTGTGCGATACTGGGTGAGCGTGTGTGTGTGTGAGGTGGGCGAGGGGGTTGGAGGGGTTTGAAAGAAAGAGTTGCCACTGTATCTGCAGCGATGGGAGAAGATGTCTTGAATGTCAATGAAGTGTGTCGGGGTTGCCCTTGCGTTTAAAATAATGTGTGTGTGTGTTTGTTTGGGGGCGGGGTTGTGTGTGTGTATGCCCGTGGTGGTCTCTCGAAGCCATGGGTGGCAGATCCATCACGAAGGATCTCCCACGTCTGAGGCACCTGGGTCTGAAGAATGCGCCGCTTTGATGCAGATCGCGGCTCCTGACACCATAAATGTGGCGTTAACATCTAAGTGAGCAGCTTCTCTCTTAGCATCTTAGTGCTTGTTTGAAAGGGTTCACTGAGGATGGAAGACAAGCAATTTCACTGACATCCATCCATCTTTGTCTTCCCGCTTGACTGATGTTGGTTGTGCCCTATAAGCAGGCGGCACTAAAAATGCCTAATCAACAGCCAGGTTCATTCATAAAGCCTGGAGGACATATTTGAATGGAAAAAAAAAAATCCTGTATCACGTGATTTTACCAACTCTCACTGGGCTATCGTGCTTTTCCGTTTGTTATTTTCCTCATAAAACACCTTTCTTAGTCGATGTAGGCTGATTTTAGACATGTTTCAAGTTTCTCGAAGTAAATCTCTGGGCTCCAGAGTCAAATTGAGGTAACTATTTTCCTGAAGTATCTGCAGGATTACCTCACCCACCACTACCTATTAAAGCACGGTGTGTGTTTGTGCTTCTGCAAATGTGCGTGTGTGTTTGCAGGTACCTAATCAGTACACTAGCAATTTCGACTAGTGGCTGTACTCATTTGTCCATAGAGGCTGACACCAGGTCAGAATCAAGTGTTTCACTTTCTGTAAATAAAGATAAAAGCATTTCTTGTTTACATTTCCTATTATTTCAATCTATGAACAATTATTTTGTCCCTATAATTTGTTCTGTTAGTGATAAGTTGCATATATACACACATATACCTGTAACTGGAACGTTAGCCTGCAAGTATTCATCACAGAGAACATTAAGTTCAATAAAATTAACTTTGCTTTGCTTTGATTTTAGTGAGGGACAACGTCAAACCTACAAATGCACATTTTCAGGTATAAAGTTTAAGAACTCTGATGTGCAGCTGTTATTTTGCTTACAAAACTCAAAATGACGGCTTTAGTGGTTCTATATCACATTGCCTGTCCCTAGTCTTATGCACCCTGATGTGCTGCCTTGGATATGAATGAGCTTTTGTCAGGCCACTGAATAGGCCCCTGTGTCATGTCAGCATTCCCTCTACGAGGATAAAATGTGCTGTTGCCTATTTGTGTGTAATGTAGATTATCCAATTTTCTACTATTGCAAGTGATTCTTGTGGTGTTCTTTTCAAGGTACATTTCTACTCTTATAAAATAAGGTATAACATGAAAAAGCAATTGGAGGACGCAACTGAGGCTTTTGTTCCACCGCTGTTGTCAAAGTGCAACTGTACATTCAAGAAAAAAGTCCGATTATCCTCCTGCAGAATGCATTATGATGTTATTACAATTCAAATCAAGCTCAGTTGACTGCCTGCAGTTTGGCAAAGCACAAAGTGTTGTCGGTCCATAAAAGAGTCAAACAGCATGGAGATGAGCTCAGTGGGTATCTGCAACTGAGGCATCATACAGTGTATGTCCAAAGTTATTTTACAATATGTTCCTCTTTGTAGATCAAGTCATCACGATGGTTGTTATCAACCGGTAAACGTGCCATGTCACAAAGCTCAGATCATCCCAATCTGGTTTCTGGAACAGCTCATTTAAAGGCTATGAGAATCACAGGCATCTCAAACATAGGCTGTAAATGCTGTTAAATTGGGAATGTTCATGCTGTGTATTTGCCGTTATAAAAAAATGAATGAATAAATCCAGCATTAGTTATAACTTTGGTCACTAAGTCTTTGAGGTGGTGTGCAACTACCTCCACAAAAAGATTTCAGTAAGTAAATAAATAAAACACCAGCTTGCAGTGATGTTGTGAATATTATTGTGAGCACCAAAGATTAGTGTCACCAATTCAGTATCCGACTAAATGTGAAATAAGGCCAATATCACATCTTCTGTTGCTGAATTATGGTCCTGAGTAATGGCCAGAAAAGCATTTTTACAGAACATTATAAGGTCACAGAAGTTCACCGGTCATCACCTCTATTTGATCATATTAGGCATTTCTATTTGTCACAATTTGCACATGAATTTGAGTGGAAGTCAAAAATATGTTGAGTGAGGATCTTTGACCACCAGATTCTAATCAGTTGATCCTTGTATCCCAGATTTAACACACTTCCAACCAGGCGTTTCTGAGATATCCTATCATTTCCTGGATATATGTTATTGTCCCAGTACTTAAACGTTGTACATTGCGTATAAGGTTTAATGTGTGATCTGTAAAATGTTAGCTGCTGAAAAATGTTCTAAGGCATTAGAAATGAATATCAAATATTACCTTTTGAAATGCAGTGAAAAAATTAAAAGCATCTGATAACAAATAACGACTTTAAATAAAAACGTCTCTTGTCCCTTAAAAGGTTGTCTCATTTGCAAAATTTAGACTAGACTAAATCTAGTTTAAAATAAAGGCTGGGATAATTAAATCCACCTAATTAAAATGTGCAATTATTAACATTATAAAGAAATTGTATTTATTGAGTTCATTATTGAACATTAGACATTTTAATTAGGTGGATTTTGTTGCCTTTAAAAACTAGCAAACAAACAAATAAACTGTCTCACCTTGCATGAAGCTAAGTGCCTTCTGTATCGTGCAGCTTTTTATTTTAATGGACAGATATGAGTTGAGTGTGTGTGTGTGTGTGTGTGTGTGTGTGTGTTTTTCAAGCATTTCCGAAAATTACCACGTCTCTGTAAATCCTGTATCATAGTCACTGCAGGGTGCACTAAATTGGGTCCATCCTGTTGTTCAGCAGCAACATTTCTCAGTACAGGAAATGTATCTGCTGTGACTGAGGGGAATTGCAGTTAGGTAGTCAGCAGTGTTTACTTGAGTTTAAGCAACAAAAGCATTTTGAATATAGTTGGCAGAAGTTGTGGTTTTGGTTAACAGTTCATTCAGCTTCAACAAATAACAATTGTAATGCCTGGTTGAATTTCACGTTTGTCGAAACCGCACGTGATAATTACGCTGGGAGGGGTTCGTTCTACACCTTCCGAAAATATTGCCAGTTAACGGTTCACTTTCGTCACCCTAGCAATTAAAGAAGCCAATAAAGTGTTGAATTTTTGTAAGGTAAGTCTGATAAGTGTGGCAGATACAGAAGTAGTGTAGGCATTATTTATGCACATTGAAGTATCTAAAAATATAGTTGCCAGTATACTAGGCAAGGCCTTGTTTTGCTCACAAAACAGCCTCTATTCTTTGTGGCGTGGATTCCTCGAATGACATATTTGCATTACATCACTCTTGTAGAATCGTCAGCTGCACATTCATGCTCCCTTTGTGCTACTGGACATATTAGCAGTATTATGCTGAATGCAGATCTGCTGACTTGAGATACTCTCAGGTCCACCAGACTTGTCATGAGACCAGTGTGAGACAATGTTTGTGATGTGGTGTTCTGTCATATTTTATGGGAGCATAAAGGAATCAATACATTGTAGCACATTGGGTGCATGGATTTTTACCCTTGAGACATTGCACTGCACTCTTGCAGCAAGACTGACAGATTGGAGAATGATGTATGAATGACGCTGGTGCATAGGTGTTCCTAATAAAGTGCTCAGTGAGTGTGTAGTTCAAATTCAGTGACTGTAGATTAAAAACCTGCTGTGCAGTTCACTGATCGTAAATGCAAAGAAATTAATTATCAGTTTGGTGAAACACACCTGCTTTGACCACTTGTACATTTCATAATGGAATGAAATTAACTTCTGGCTTGTCATCTGTTCTCAGGGCCAGCAGAAGCCTCCAAAGATGTGTAAGTACTTAAGCCATTTTCTAATTATTTAAAGTATTTCTAAAACTCTGCAGGCTCCAGGCCTTGAAGGTTTGCATCAAATTTTACACTGTACAAAATTAGCTTTATACCTCAATGCTGTATATTAACACTGACACTTAGGGTCATTTAACAATGGTAAATATGCAAGGGTTTGACAGTAAAGATCATCATTGTTAACATTTTTTAATTTACGTGTCTTGATGCATGCTCAATCTTACAGGTAAGAAAATTTCCAAAGGTTGATTCTGTTCATCTGGACGTAACGTTTTCAGTGGGAGACACGCTTTGTCACTCATCCAAGTGACTTCTTCAGTCTCAGCTGACTGTTTATAAGATTAGGGAACCCTGCAGTCAGCTGAGACTGAAGAAGTCACTTGGATGAGTGACAAAGCGTGTCTCCCACTGAAAACGCTACGTCCAGATGAACAGAATCAACCTTTGGAGATTTACATGTGACATGTGAAGTTGGGCACCACAGTGGTGTGGTAGTTAGCAATGTTGTCTCACAACAATAAGGTCCTGAGATTGACTCTGCCATCTGGCTGGAGCCTTTTGTGTTGACTTCACATGTTCTCCCTGTTTTTGTGTGGGTTCCTCCTACAGTCAAAGATGAACAGTTAACAAAATCTTAGGCAGCATAATGTAAAGTATGGTTGGTTACACCGTTGTGCAATAAAGAGGATGCACGTTGTATCACAAGACAGCTGATCAGTTTGTTTCATTAGGTCATTTACACAAGGCATTTTGTAGAGGTTTATAGCACATTTGACAGTTTGTCGTCAAACAATAACTGTAATCTGGACTTTTTTTCTCAAAATAGAATTACGACTTTATTCTTAAAATGATTTTTCCCTCTAATGTGGCCCTAATACTCCTGCGTAGTGGATTGTCCCAGTTGACAGTGACAGAAATATTTTAATTTCAGACGAACCACTCTGCTTTTGTTGTATATACTTTTGGTTAAAAATAATTTATTTTGGCTCCCAAATAGTTTTGTGTTCTGTTCTTTGTTTTTTTTTTTTTTTTAAATTCTAATTGAAATACAGAAGATATACTTTTCTTTGCTATCTAGAATACAGTAAAAAGCTTTGGGAGGGGCAGCTTTTTCCAAAGCATTTCCTGGAAACACTGTGTATGTGTGTTTGTGCTTTATTGTAGTTTGTGTTTGTGTGTGTAAGTGTGTGTATTCCCCTTCATAGCCATCTGAACAGCCAGCACAGGACCCATGAGAGCTGACAGTAAAGCATTGACTCAGTGAAGCTAATCACAGCTATCTATGTCTGTACTACACAGCAAACTACCACACAAAAGCTCATGCACACACACTCACAGAGCAAGACACACTGTTAAGGGAATAATATACTCACAAAACTGAAAAGTGTGATACAGCTTGGCTTGCATAGGGATAGTGCACACAGTGAATAAACCTTCACATCGGCTTCATGTTGTTACCATGTTTGATCTTAATGCTCAGCCACCACATCAAACCTGAGACCACTTTATTAAGTTTGTTGTTCAGCAGGCCTGAAATAAAACTGGAGGTTTGGTCTATAGAAGTTCCTGACAGAGAAGTATTCCCTACAGGGCTTGAGCAGCATGCTGAAGATTTCTGAGGCTAAGCAAAAGAACAATGTTTGCACTTTCTCTCTATTTTGTATATTTGTGATTTTTTTTTATTTCCTCTCTGCTCCCATATGACCTGACCTGTGCCCATTCTCTCAATCAGGACAGAAGATCCCTCAGCAGAAGATGAGAAAAGAAGGTACTTTGCAGCGCCCTTGAGTGCACTTTGCTAAGACGGCTATACTTGAAATGAAATATACTTGAAATTTTTGATCGCAAAAATGTCAAATAGTTTGTTTTGCAGTATTCTCATAATAAAGTGCAAGGTTTAAACAAGTAAATGAACAATAACTCAAAAAATAAATGAATAAAATGATAAATGAATTTCATTTAGAGGTCTGTAAGTTTGATGGGATACTGGTAATGCTATTAAAAACTACTTGGTCTTTAAAACCTCTCCTCCTCTCTCCTCTCAGGAACTATGGTGGTGTGTATGTAGGTTTGCCAGCAGACCTAACGACTGTGGCTGCCAGCCAGTCCAAAGCTACACGTAAAGGTGAACTGCAGCACGCATTACGTACACGAATCTCTCACATTTAGAAGCAGAACTCGGTGTGGCGAACAGTGAACTGTTATACCGCTGACATCTGGCAGCCTCTCAGGCATCTCACCACATGAAACCACGCCACCACGTGGAACCACGTTGCCAGCAGCGTCTTCGGTTTTATTTGACCTTTATTTTTACTGAATATTAATGAGAAACATTTACTTTGCTATACCCAACAGGGTACTGATATTTGCAAAGTTAAATATAGTTGACGACAATTATTCTGTCCAAAAATTGTATTTTTAATCAACATGGGCTTTACAGAGAGCCACATTTTTGTGCATATTTTAAATGTTATTCATTTTCTCTGTTTACAAAGTAAAACGTCTTTATGTATGTAAATGACTTTCTGATGGAGAAATATAAGTGATAAACTGCCATGTCTCCTGAATTAAGAGTTTAGAGTAAACTCACATCGCTCTTGCGTTTTGCGGCCCTGAGGGCTTTCTTCTCGCATACATGTCCTTGTGCTCATTGAGGTTAAATATAATAATGGATTGATTCAGTTTTGTATCCTCTGGCATGAGAAGTATTGGCTCTTGTTTTTATTGAAGCCAAGATGTTCAAACTGCTGGGTGGAGTGTGTGGGTGTTTTTCAACACAGTCTTGACTGTGAGACAAAAACACCAGAGAAGAATAAAAAAAATTTTGTCAAATAATTGTCCTATAAATATCTGAACACTGACTCAGTTGTTTCTTCCTTCTTGCAGACTAGCAACCATTCAAGGAAACGCACAAGAGGTACCTGAAATATGAAGCCTGTTTGTTCGGCTTTTAACATTGCTTATTCAGTGCAAAAGACTCATGTGAAGGCCGCTGACTCCATTTTTTTCTCTCATCTCGACAGGATCCTGCATATTAATTTACGTACAAACAGTCACATTACAAGCAAAGAGCATGTAAGCCCTCTGATTCTGCCCCACCACAGACTGAATAAAGTCTCAGGCACTAGTACTCTACGAAGATGTGGACGGCCTACAGGGGCTGGGGGGATGTTCCCTCACAGAGTAATGGGTGGCAAAGTGAAACAGAGGTGCACATCAGAGGCCTGCAAGTGGATTGTATCATCGCCCTTTACTTTGCAAATACTAGGAAAGCACTCAATCTGGGACTAGCAGCTATGGACAGCGGCACCGGACTTATCGACAGTCATCTGGATTTCTCGGTCAATTCACTGGAAATTTCTCTTTCTCAGGAGGAGACAGATGATCCAGCCAACTTACTAAATAACTGGGTGGGGGCTGACACACTCCCAACAGCCCTCTGCAATAATAATCACTGCTCAGTTATTTCTCTAAAACGCCATCAATGATTCATTGTGTGGCAGGGATAGAGTTATAGAGAGACAGAGATAAACCAGAGTTTCACACACACACACACACACACACACACACACACACACACACACACACACACACACACACACACACACACACACACACACAAAAGCAGCAAGCACATTCCTGTTAATGTATAATAATGGAACATCTCAGTGTTGTTGAAAATAGTGCTGATTGCAATCAGGGTCCTGCTGCTGCAACAGAAAAGTCTGAAATGACACTGATTTTAACAATGGCTCTAAATGTTAATAACAGCGATGAGTCAAGTCGAGGGTTTCACAGATGATGTTCCTAAATGTCCCGAGTGCAGCAGGCAGGTCGTACCTGATGTTATCACTTATCTTGGCCCCAGACTGATTATGTAACCACAACATATGAGTCATGATACTTAGAGGAGCTCTCCCCGTCCACCCGTCTCTCTCTCTCTCTTTGCGTCCTTCTCAATTGTCTGCAGGATTGTATTTTCCTGTTCCCCCTGTTTATACTGCCTTTGGCTCATTCACATAATTCTTATAATAATTTCGCTCCAGATGTAGAACTGACACAGTTTCTTCAAATCTCACAACATCCATGTATGTTACACTCAACTGAAAAAAGAGAAAAAAAACACGTCTTAATATTTCATATTCATTTGCAAAAAAAAAAAAAAAATAACAAAAAAATGTGAAGAATAGAGACAGCCGCCCAAAAAAGTGAATTCTTTTCTCTTTTGTGAAACTGCCGTTGTAGCAACTCCATTGAATTTATTATAATTCTCCTTTATACTGTATAAGCATAGTTGTTTTATGTTTGTTTGCTTTTTGTTATCTTTATATGAAATGTGTTATTATGTATTTTTTTAGACTGTCAACAAGTCCTAATGGAAAAAAAAATGAAATCAAAGATTCTTGTGTCTAACTTAGGCTTTGCTCAGTCCACTCTAAGGTTGAGATAAACTCTGCGACCCTGTTCACACTTAATGCTAAAATGCTTCTCAGGCGATTGGATCAAGATTGGACTACAGAGACACGTTGCTGTTTTATATCTGCGAATCTGTGACAATCATGTGTCTCCAGCTGTCTTTGCTACTGTTGAACACAGATGTTTCATTCCCACTCAAGTGCCAGATTTACTTTAGGTCAGCAAAGAGAACAAGAACTAATATTTGTGTACGAGTTATTCCGGCTATTGATATTGTAATTTGTGAGACAAAATGAAGGAAATGTTCTGTCTGCAACAAGGACAATGCTTCATAACAATTTTCCAGGTTGTTTCTTGTTTTAGGCAATTCAGAAAATGAAAGCATTGACCTTACAATAAATATGTGGCTCAAACCAACACAGAAAGCGCTTTGAGTAAGTGGATCAGATTGCATGATATTGATTGTTCTTTATCTTTTGCACTGTCCGTGTGTAATTTGATCGCAGAAGGTGCAATTTATAATCAAGTGTAGGCAGGGTCTATGTGTTTCTCCACCATATTGTTAAGAGATTTCTTTTTAAAGAACTTGGGCATTGCAGGAACAAATGAATTCTAATAGATGGTGTATTAGTAGATCAATTCGTTGTTGGGATCGGTCCATTTGTGAAGTTTGTTGACCTCGAGAAAAAAATACACAATATAATCAGCCTTATACTTTAACAGTAAAACCTCATCAAGCACTACGATGTTCCCAGAAAAGAAAAAACACATTACAGCTGGTCGAGCATTAAGGTCTAAGGTCATTTGTCAGCCAGACTCTTGACAGTTCTCTCCTCTAATGAATGTACAACATCTTCCACTGACCAAGACTTTAGGGGAGGGTGGAAATAGGCCAACTTTAAACACTTGAGATTCAAGAGATGTTCTGTCTGAGCTACACAAAGCTCTTTATACGCCTGTCTGTGTAGCTCTGACGGCCTCAACTGACCAGCCTCATAAAAATGAGGACTTGTTTCACCCTGCCAGCACACAAGCTTACTGTTTACTGTTTGATCAGTTTTTCTTGCGGGTGGCGCTTCACATCGACGCCCACTAGCTGCCAAGCTGCGTCGCCAGTTATCAGTCGAGCTGATACCAAGGGATTTCGTGTAGTGTCTTTTAATTGCGAGCCATTTGTCTACTCACATTGTTGCAGTGTGTGCATTGTTCACCTGTTGTAGAGACAGATTATACTGCAGATACAAAGAGCTGCTTCATGTACTTTGTAGTTAATGGCAAATAATAAAAGGAGCTGAAGTGTGCCTACAGTGCCAGATCATAAATTTGATCAGCAAACCCACCTGAGACGTTGCATTTTTGCTGTCCCTTTTCTTTGATGTCTACATTTTTTCCCTACTGCTGTCCCCACCGGTGGCCTTTGGCTTTTACAGCGTGTTGTGCTGCCTGCCTCTCCCTCTTCTATCAGCCTCACGTTGCCCTTTATGGTTGTTCCTCCTGTATATGATGAATGTCACTGCCTTTGCCCTATTCAGTTAGCTTAACAGGGACAAGGGGGCAGAATGTGGATGAATATAACCGTCTGATGTCCTCTACATTAAAATGCTGCTGTAGTTGCTGCAGTACAGCGTGTTGAATGTAGTAGGGGTGGGCTGTGCTTATAGAAGATTTTTGGGGGGAGGAACTGCTATGGATGTTAAATGCTAAGCAAAGCTAGCTACCAGCAACCTGTTAGCTTAGCGTAAACTTTGGAAACAGCCTATCTTTAAAGGTCACCATTTAACACGTAACATCAAAAGTAAGATTTAAAAGGACACGTCTGTTGATACAAGCAAGAAAGGAATGAAATGCCTTTCTTCAAACTGTAATACTATTCCTTTTGTGTATTAAATAAAATTCTTACGGTTTAGTTGTATAATGATGCTGAAAATTCTGGACACCACCTGGAGTCAAAGTAGCTGTTAAATAATTTATTTATTCCAACACTAGAAAAGACCTAAAGTAGTCATAGAAAACCCTCCACCCCCCCACCAATGTCACTTCATGGTTTTGACCACTGTAAAATTTTATGAATCAAGAGGTAATAAGTGAGGTTCTTGGGTTGTTCAATGATGTTCTATGCTTAAAAAACATTTTATGGGATATTTATCATGTCTGTCTTTCACGCAAAAATAATATTTACTCATCACTCCTTTCTAAACCTAATCTATCAATGATGCTGAAGATTAAAAAAATGTGACTGCCTCTGTGCAACAAATCCACAATTTTCTGATTGAATTATCAACAATTAAAGACTTTTATATCGTCCGCACACAGCTGTGTTTATTGATTGTGGTCTTTGCTGGAACGTATCTGCCTCCTGTAATCAATAGGTTTCAGACTTGAGGGATTAAAAGTGTTCTTAGTAAATATTCCAGACATGAAGAAATAGAATAAGATTTGCTAACTGCCGTGGGCCTTTGTGCAATAAGATCAATTGCAAGTTCATCTTGATAATTGGCTGTGCTGAGATCGCATGAGGAGAGGTAAAGAAGAGCAGGCTGGGTTCACTGTCCCCTCTTCTACTGCATGCAAACAGTTTGAGCCTCTCCACTGATCACATATCATGTTCTGCTCCCGGTGCAGAAATTAGAAAATATAAGCTGTGCGTGAAAAAGAAAAAAACAGAACTTCCCTAATAAGTAATCAAGGGACATATATCTGCAGCATATAGGACTGACTCACATATGAATAATTTTTTTTTTTTATCATATATTCCATTTTTCTCATATATTGTCATATACATAATAGCCTTCATTCACATATAAAACATCCCAAAGAAGCAGATGTGGTTCTCTGTGACATGCAGTGTTAGCTGAAATACTTTGTTACACAAGCTCTGCTAAAGAGTTATTTCTTCCAAATTACAAAGGGCAAAAATGATAAGTTCTAGTATTTACTGAACTTTCGAACTCTGTCTATTGAAAAATGTGTCCTTTGTGTTACGTCACAGACTAATTACCTTGCATTTTTTAACTTTAAGATGAACGAAATCAAATAAAAAAAATCTATTCAGTACTTAAATTGTTCTGAGACTAGAATTTCAGTCAGAGAAATCTCAGCACTGACAATTAAAAGCAAGGCCACCTACAAGACTAGGCACCATGAGAGACAGGAGAAAAAAAATACCGTAGTCTGTATTTGGTAATATACAGTGGGGCAAAAAAGTATTTAGTCAGCCACCGATTGTGCAAGTTCCCCCACCTAAAATGATGACAGAGGTCAGTAATTTGCACCAGAGGTACACTTCAACTGTGAGAGACAGAATGTCAAAAAAAAAATCCATGAATCCACATGGTAGGATTTGTAAAGAATTTATTCGTAAATCAGGGTGGAAAATAAGTATTTGGTCAATAACAAAAATACAACTCAATACTTTGTAACATAACCTTTGTTGGCAATAACAGAGGTCAAACGTTTACTATAGGTCTTTACCTGGTTTGCACACACAGTAGCTGGTATTTTGGCCCATTCTTCCATGCAGATCTTCTCGAGAGCAGTGATGTTTTGGGGCTGTCGCCGAGCAACACGGACTTTCAACTCCCGCCACAGATTTTCTATGGGGTTGAGGTCTGGAGACTGGCTAGGCCACTCCAGGACTTTCAAATGCTTCTTATGGAGCCACTCCTTTGTTGCCCGGGCGGTGTGTTTTGGATCATTGTCATGTTGGAAGACCTAGCCTCGTTTCATCTTCAAAGTTCTCACTGATGGAAGGAGGTTTTGGCTCAAAATCTCACGATACATGGCCCCATTCATTCTGTCCTTAACACGGATCAGTCGTCCTGTCCCCTTGGCAGAAAAACAGCCCCATAGCATGATGTTTCCACCCCCATGCTTCACAGTAGGTATGGTGTTCTTGGGATGCAACTCAGTATTCTTCTTCCTCCAAACACGACGAGTTGAGTTTATACCAAAAGTTCTACTTTGGTTTCATCTGACCACATGACATTCTCCCAATCCTCTGCTGTATCATCCATGTGCTCTCTGGCAAACTTCAGACGGGCCTGGACATGCACTGGCTTCAGCAGCGGAACACGTCTGGCACTGCGGGATTTGATTCCCTGCCGTTGTAATGTGTTACTGATGGTGACCTTTGTTACTTTGGTCCCAGCTCTCTGCAGGTCATTCACCAGGTCCCCCCGTGTGGTTCTGGGATCTTTGCTCACCGTTCTCATGATCATTTTGACCCCACGGGATGAGATCTTGCGTGGAGCCCCAGATCGAGGGAGATTATCAGTGGTCTTGTATGTTTTCCATTTTCTGATGATTGCTCCCACAGTTGATTTTTTCACACCAAGCTGCTTGCCTATTGTAGATTCACTCTTCCCAGTCTGGTGCAGGTCTACAATACTTTTCCTGGTGTCCTTCGAAAGCTCTTTGGTCTTGGCCATGGCGGAGTTTGGAGTCTGACTGTTTGAGGCTGTGGACAGGTGTCTTTTATACAGATGATGAGTTCAAACGGGTGCCATCCATACAGGTAACGAGTGGGGGACAGAAAAGCTTCTTACAGAAGACGTTACAGGTCTGTGAGAGCCAGAGATTTTCCTTGTTTGAGGTGACCAAATACTTATTTTCCACCCTAATTTACGAATAAATTCTTTACAAATCCTACCATGTGAATTCATGGATTTTTTTTTCACATTCTGTCTCTCACAGTTGAAGTGTACCTCTGGTGCAAATTACTGACCTCTGTCATCATTTTAAGTGGGGGATCTTGCACAATCGGTGGCTGACTAAATACTTTTTTGCCCCACTGTAAGTGAACAAGCTGAGTGAAACGTCCCACTCAACAGAACACCAACATCAAACACAACAAAAAGGTTTGAACAAAATTGCTCCCGTCTTTGTGTTGAGGTAATCATGTATATGTATCACGCACAGATAGAGATCTGACTCTGTGTGAACAGTGAGAGGTACGTGATTGAGAGCAGGTCCTTAATCATATCATCTGTGCATCTGGCCCACCATGAAATAGCAGCTGTTCTTTCTCAAGCTTACATTTTTTAGTAAACACTGGCGTCTGCCTTTCACTTCATAGCATAATTACTCACACCTACTTGCTTGTTTAAAAAAGGAAATATTATCCGCCTAGGACCTGGCATCCACATATGTGGACATCACATTTTGGGTTATTTAGACCAAAATACTCAATTTTGCTCTACAAGGGCCTGATATCCACTGACGAGGACATTATACTGCCACTGTTCTATCGAAATTTTAAATGAGTATCCTCATTTGTGGCTCTTATTTTTCTTAAAAACAAAAATAAGGTGAAAAAAAAATCTGGTAATTCTTTGTTTTTACATTCATTGGGCCCCAATCAGCCCAAATATCAAAGAGAAATTCAAAATGCATTTTTGATATATTGTGAATATTAAAAGAAATACCTCTGACAAATCATAATCGCAACTTCTAAACTGCAACCCAACTGCAACTCTAACATGCCTAAAGTCTAACCTTGTGGTATCAAAATATATCCTTTTTGCCTTGGCAATCATAGAGCACTAAGTGACACACAAAAACTATTGACATTTATTCCAAAAATGTCATTTTTTAAATTTCTCTAAATCGCATAAGGCTAGCATCAGACCTAACCCTGGACCTAACAGTGTTAATTTAATTTTGCTGCAACAGCCTCTTCATTTTCTTTGTGCTTTGCACAGCAGGGCAGTAGAGGATAGCAACAGCATCAATGGCACACTTGAAAATCAAGTGTTTTTTAAGTATATTTAATTTGACCATTTTTTGTTCTCATAGCCACTGAGCAGCTGCACAGGACCAAACATTGGTTCGTTGTTACAACTATTTTGGCTCACGGCATAGACGATGGACATAGTACAGTATGTTATAAACAAATTCATGAAGAAAGGATATCTTAAGATGTGTATAGGGCCACCAGGGAGAGCAAGCCTGTAGAAACTGAGATGTAGCCTTTGATATTTTTCTTTTTTTTTTGCAGCTTCATTTCGTTTCATTCGTTGCATTGCATGGTCTGACCTTGGGGTGAATTTGCTCAGCTGTCTGCTCCTGGCAACATTTGCAATTGTTCTGAATGTTCTTCAAGTGTGAATAATCTTTCTCACTGTAGAATGATGGACTTCAAATTGTTTGAAAATCACCTTATAACCCTACAAGACTGATGGAGAGCAGCAGTTGGTTGCTTAAAGTCATTCCTGCTGTTTTCCACCTTGGCACTGTGTTAATGAACTCCTGAATGTTCCAGGAAGCTGCAAAAACGTCTTCTTTAACTGAGGTCCTCACACTTGTCCTGATATATAAAACCTTAGAATTTTTAATTCCTTTTCTTTCTTTGACTGTTTTTTTGTGATCCTCAATAAAAACGAAGACAGTGATTTATTAGTAAAATGGTCCATTAGACTTGTCTCCTTTCAAAGTCTCCCTTATCTTAAAGGACAAATGCAGTAAACAGCCATATTCGATTAAATATTATGCACTGTTTTGGCACTGCTGAATTATTATTCAGACAAAAAAAATATTACTTTGCCACCTATTTGAAATTGTATTTGTAATTCATCCTTTTTACCAGTAGATGTCACTGCTGCACAGCGTTAGCTTCAATTGTGGCAACAGCAGCAAAAATCTTGTGCACTCTCACAGTACTTTTGTCTAAAATCTTTCCCTCTGTAATAGCCATGAAAAATGAGAGGTATGTCTTCCCGCCCTCAAGGCCTCTGCAGCTTCTTTGAGATCTACAAAGAGACAAAATCATTAAAGCCAGCTATCAGTTCTAACAATCTTATTCATTTAAATTGAGAGGTTTGCACTAATCTTGGCACCAAAGTTGCTAAACAAGCCCAGTACATGCAACAGGGTGCAAATTACTGTTTTGGTTGCAGAAGGGGGGGGTCGTACCAGCTTTCAGGGCAGTGAGGCCAATTACATACCCCCGAGTTTAACCTGAAGTGTATACAGCCAGTTTTAAGATCAATCTAGAATTTCAAAGTTTTTTATTATGTTAAGTTTTAAACTCTAAAATGGGGGGCCGGGCGAACAGCTACCTGGTCTTTGATTCTTTTTTAAAAATCCCTGTCAAGGCCTTATGTTCTCCTGTAATATTCCAAATATTGGAGGCAAATCTCAACCTGAGATGGTGAGGTGTGAAAGCAGTTCTTTCAACTTAGTGTTAAACATCCAACTGAAGTTGGAATAGTCACAGTGCTGTCTGCAGACCTTTGTGATTTTGTGTGAAGGAGGAAAATATTTAAACCTTCATTTTTAAACCTTCATGTTTTTGCAAAGGTG